CATCAGCCTCTGGATGTCAGATTCCCACCATCTAGCACCAGTTCAGGGGTTCCTTCCCCTGCCTCCGGACAGCGAGAGAGAGAGACAGAGACTGAGGAAGGGAAGGAAGGATGATAGGAAGGAAGACAGATTCAGGGGTTGTGGTAAAAACTAGTTCAGTAATAAGGATGTGATGGCCCTCCAGTGGCTACTGCATTAGACTCCCATCATTCCTGACTATTAGTTGTGCTGTTTAAAAAATCCAGTGCCACCAGGGAGAAGTCAAGTTGTGAGTGATTGAAATTCCTCACATTGAAACTAAATGGTCATAACAGAGGTATGTATTCTCCCTGACACATTTTCTTGTTATGTGCCCTATGATTTAAATTTCAGATAAATGTATTTCTCTGCTGTCGTCTTGTTAATTCAGCGAGCTATCCCAGGGCACTGCCAGGGTTGACGGGGATCCTGCAGAAGATGCCTCAGGAGCCAGTCTCATCTCTGTACCCATCAAGCATTCCATGTCCTAGTTTCTGTTCCCCACCCCCATTTGCTCTTGTAGCACACTTTTCTTTCCTTTGATATAACAGGTAAAAGTCTCTGAACGTACCTGAGAGCTAAACTTTAGATGTACTTGAAATCTTAATTTCTCCCTTAATTTCTGCAGAGAGAGAGAGAGATAGACGGAGAGGGAGAGAAGGAAGGAGAGAGAGAAAGGGAGAGACTGAGACTTGTTGATTGTAGGCTCCTTGGGGCTGAGAAGAATTGCTGCAAAACTGAATTTATTGAAGTGGACCACTAGACTCCTAAACAACTTAATAAAATAGAATAACAGAGTTGGAAGGAACCTTGGAGGTCTTCTACTCCAACTCCCTCCATAGGCAGGAAACCCTACACCACATCAGACAAATGGTTATCCAACATTTTCTTAAAATCTTCCAATGTTGGAGCATTCACAACTTCTGGAGGCAAGTTGTTCCACTGATTGTTCTGTCAGGAAATTTCTCCTTAGTTCTGAGTTGCTTCTCTTCTTGATTAGTTTCCACCCATTGCTTCTTGTTGTACCCTAAGGTGCTTTGGAGAATAGTTTGACTCCCTCTTCTTTGTGGCAGCTCCTGAGATATTGGAACACTGCTATCATGTATCCCCTAGTCCTTCTTTTCATTAAACTAGACATACCCAGTTCCTGCAACCGTTCTTCATATGTTTTAGCCTCCAGTCCCCTAATCATCTTTGTTGCTCTTCTCTGCACTCTTTCTAGAGTCTCCACATCTTTTTTACATCATGGCGACCAAAACCGAATGCAGTATTCCAAGTGTGGCCTTACCAAGGCATTATATTAACACTTCACGTGATCTTGATTCTGTTTATGCAGCCTAGAACTATGTTGGCTTTTTTGGCAGCTGCTGCACATTGCTGGCTCATATTTAAATGGTTGTCCACTAGGACTCCAAAATCCCTCTCACAGTTACTACTGTTGAGCGAGGTACCACATATATTGTACCTGTGCCTTTTGTTTTTCTAGCCTAAATGTAGAACCTTACTTTTTTCAGCATTGAATTTCATTTTGTTAGATAGCGCCCAATGTTCAAGTCTGTCAAGATCCTTCTGTATCTTAAGCCTATCTTCTGGAGTGTTGGCTATTCCTGCCAGCTTGGTGTCATCTGCAAATTTGATGAGTTCCCCATCTATCCCCTCGTCATTGATGAAGTTTTGAAGAGTACTGGGCCTAAAACAGCCTTGGGGTACTCCACTGCATACTTCCCTCCATGTAGATGCAGTTCCATTGAGGACTACACGTTGAATGCGGTTGGTCAGCCAGTTACGAATCCATCTGGTGCTGATGCTGTCCAACCCACATTTTTCTACTTTATCTAGTAGTAGGTTATAGTCTACTTTATCAAATGCCTTACTGAAATCCAAGTAAATTATATTGACAGTGTTCCTCTGGTCCACTAATTTTGTCACTTTGTCAAAGAATGCAATAAGATTAGTCAGGCATGATCTGTTTTTTTAAAAAAGATTTTTTTTAATTTTTAAAACAAAACAAAACATAAAATAACCATCATCCATTACAATTACAGAAAGTGTGTTGATCGGTTACAATTCTTTTGTGCTTAATCCCATCTCCAAAATTTACAAGTTATTTCTCTTATTTGACAGTTTTTTATATCTCTTTAATTCTTTAATTAATTAATTTCTTTAATTCTGCTGGATCCAGGAAAGGCTTCTTGAGGAGGGGCCTTACAACCGCTTCCTTTAATGGTTGCGGGAAGGCCCCTTCCCTCAAGGACGCGTTAACTAAAGCCTGGAGTCAGCCTCGTGTCACCTCCCTGCTGGCATTGATGTATAGATATTTGAGTCCATTTTGATTGACCCTGTGTTTACTGTCTACATAACCTGTTGTTGTGGCTCCATTACCTGAGCCTGTGTTATCGGCAGGAGAGGACTCCGAGAGTGAAGGAGAGGAGTTGGCAAGGCCTCCCTCTCCAGGACCCTCCTCTCTGGCAATGCCTTCGGTGTCCTCCGAAGGTCAAGAGATGGGCCCGGGGCCAAGCACATCCACACAGCCACAGGTGGACAGTAATGAGGAAGATGAATCTTGGCTGGACCCTCGGCAGCGTCGCAGAGATAAGCGGCCGCTGCAGAAGAGGCGTGCCAGGGATTAGGCTGAGTCACTGGATCACACCCCACAGGGTATAAAAGAGGGTGTGGTGGCTGGTTCAGCTCTGTGACAAACAAAAAACGGATATCGGACGACCCTCTTTGTATTTACTGGACTTTGTTGATTATTGTGTATTGGCTTTATTCCCGGACGGAGAAACTCCCCCCTCGTGAGTAAAGAATACCTGGCAGCCAGCCACTGGGTTGCTGCCAATTCTGATACCGGATAAACTGTTGTCGGTTGAGTTCTTTAACTGTTGCCTGTCTGTGGGGGTGCGTGTGTGAGACGGGGACAGAACACCTGTGTTGTGCCTGACTGCCCCTACTTTCTTGCCACCTGTTTGATTAGGGCACATGGTATGTCATTCACTATTAAATTCTTGGTTTTGTTTGACAGCAAGGTTGGTAATCTTACTCGCACAAACATCTATGTTACATGCACTGATAACCCTATTAATTTTAGAATGCTGGGGATAGAAATGTTCTGTATCATGTTCTCCCCTCCCCAGGAAGAGTCCAGCCTGGTCGCCATCCTGTCCGGTGACTCCCAAGGTGGAGGGGTTTGCTGGGCTTGCTGGCGGGCGCTCCAATCGGTTAGCGCTTGGGTGGAGGGACCACAGGGTGATTGGAGCAGAGAAGAGCAGGGGGAAAGGGGAGGCCTCCAGTGACTATCACCATAGAGCAGGAAGCACATTCCCAGAGCAGCCGCTGCCCTGGCTGGGGTTTGGAAGCTGCAGAAGCGGAGTTTGTGGGAGAAAAAGAAAGACTTCTGTTGCTTCTGCTGCTGGCTGCACGCAAATAAAGCAGCAGAAGTCTTTCTTTCTCTCCCCCAAACTCCGCTTCTGCAGCTTTCAAACCCCGGCTGGAAACCCCTAGAAGCGGAGAAGAGGCCGGTTGGGCCAGCCGCCTGCTGCCAAGTCTTCTGACCAGTTGGCCTAGAACACTGTGGGGCCCCTCCAGCTGGGTGCCCTTCTCTGCTTTGCGGACAGCCGGGGCAGAGAGGCAATGATGGGTAAAGAAAGCCGCAGCCTGGCATGGAGTGTCAGCCACATCGATGTGGTGGAGGCCAGGGAGGCGCTCAAGCGAGGGGGGACAGGTGTTCCTTCGGCTTGGCGCCTTCAGGCAGCTCATTTTCCACACATACCCGCAGGAGGGGAGCGGCTTGTTGGCAGCACGCAGGACCCCCGGCTGTGAGTGTGCACAGCCCTGAAAATAATAAGACCCCCCCAAAAGCAAGGCCAAGCCCTTATTTTGGGGTTCAAAAATATATAAGACAGGGTCTTATTTTCGGGGAAACACGGTAGTATCTCCATGGTCATGTCATTTACATTCAGATGCTCGACAACTGATTCACATTTATGACTGTTGCAGTGTTCCAGAGTCATGTGATCCTCTTTTGTGACCTACTGACAAGCCAAGTCAATTGGGAAATTAGATTCACTTAATAACTGTGCTATAACTGTGTTACTAATTTAACATTAGCAAGGATTCACTTAACAAATGAGGCAAGAAAAGTAGTACAATGGGGCATAACTCACTTAACAAATTCCTCACTTAACATAAATTTTGGACTCAATTGTGGTTGTAAATTCAGGATTACCTGTAACTGATTACCTGGAAAAGAGCTGATGTGGTTCCCACCTTCAAAACAGGTAAAATAAACTCATCCAGGAAATTACAGACAGATAAGCCTGACATTAATACCTGGTAACATCTTGGAAAACATATCCAGGCAACAAATCTGTGAACACCTAGAAGCAAACAAGTTATAACCAGTAGCCAACATGGGTTGATCAAAAACAGATCATGCCAAACAAACTTTATTTCATTCTTTGACAAAGTGGCTAAATTAGTGAACCAGAGAAATGCTATAGACATAGTATACTTAGATTTCAGTAAAGCATTTGATAAAGTAGATCACAACCTACTTCTTGCCAACCTAGAAAAATGTGGCATAGGCAGCACCACCACAAAGTGAGTTTCCAACTACTTGATCGTACTCAACGTGTAATCCTCAATGGAGCTATCCCCACATGGAAGGAAGTAAGCAGGCCTACGAAGCAGGAAAAGGAGGGAACCACTTCCAAAATCCTTTGCCAAGGAAACTGCAAGGCCAGGCATGAAGACTGATCCAAAGGCACCAAATACGAAGCTAAATAGCATCCCGTTTCACTTTTTCACTTGGCTCAGTTGCAAAGGTCGGCTGCTAGGAGTCGAAAACATCTTCCAAAAGCCTTAGTGGAGATTGGACAGGCGTGTTTTTCCACCTCCTGTCGCTAGATGGCAGTCAGGCAACGTCTGTGCCTAGAAAGCCATCAATTCAGTGGTGCCATCCGTGATTGCGCTTAAAAAAGGAGTCTTTAAACCATCGAGTACTGCATTGCTAGAAAGGCTGGGAGGAGAGGAGAGGCGCAGAGGAACTTCCTCTTCCGGATGACTGATGGGAGGAAGTTGGTGTGCAGAGCGGCTTTCGTGCTGTTTCCATGGTGGAAGCAGCAGCTGGCAGGTGAGTGGAGGGCAGCAGGTGGGAGGAGAGTCCGGGAGCAACTTGGGCTGGAAGCGGAGGAGCAACTGGGCTGAAGCCTCTCAGCTGCGGCTGCTGCAGGTTCCTTCCCTCCCCAAATGGAAGCCCACTGGTGCTGCAGGCTGGGAAACTGGGGGCTGCAATTTCTGCTGGTGGGAAGCTTGAAAAAGCCTCTTTCAAGTGGAGGTTGGTTCTTTGGGAATGGCTTCCCTCCAGAGGTTGTGGCTGCTCCGTCCCTGGAGGGTTTTGAGGGGCGATTGGGCAGCCATTTGTTCTGGATGGAACAGATATAAAATGTATTGGCCACCAACCTTACCATGACATAACTGTGGGCGGCTTAGAGACAGAAAATAATACATTCACATTAAAATCTAAACAAATTGTAGGAAGAAAAATCCGGTCCGGTTCCAAGCCAGGAGAAAGGAGCTGGAAATAAAATGCTTAGTGACACAGATGCCAGTCCCAACTGCAGTCAGTAAGTGAGGACTACTTCAATTGGGATGTCACCAAAGGGGTTGTGGAAAGCATTTTCTGCCTTTACTTGGAGTTCATGGCTTCCATGGGCATAACTGGTGCTTCAAATCTTGCAGAGGATTTATTGATTGATTGATTGATTGATTGATTGATTGTCTATACCGCCCTACTCCCGAAGGACTCAGGGCGGTGCACAGCCAAACAATAAAAACACATACAATACAACATTTAAAAAATAGAATAAAATCAAATTAAATAATTTTGGCCCCGACAAATTTAAAACCCCACACTTTTAAAACCAATTTAAAATTGAATATATAAATACTAAAAGATATTTAAAATTTTAAAAATCTTTTATAAAAGAGGGGGAAAATTAGGCCAGGCCGGCCTGGTGGAATAAAAAGGTCTTGAGAGCGCAGCGGAAGGTGTGCAGATCCGGAATCCTCCGTATCTCTGGGGCGAGCTTGTTCCAGATAGTAGGTGCCCCCACAGAGAAGGCTCTCCCCCTGGGGGCCGCCAGTCGGCATTGTTTGGCTGATGGCACCCAGAGGAGCCCCTCTCTATGGGAGCGTACCGGCCGGTGGGAGGCTATTGGTGGTAGTAGGCGGTCCCGCAAGTACCCGGATGCCTAAGCTTTAGGCCTCATTTGGTCATTTAAAGCCCCCACGTCTGTAAAGTTAGTGTCATGCAGATTGTCAGGTGTGGCTCAATAAAATAAAAGAGAGTTCAAGTGTGTTTGTTTCTTCAGCTGAATATAGATGGGTCCCTCCTAAGAAGGAAGGAACCCTGAGCATAATGAAAGGCAGATATTTATACATTTATTTCCTTTCACTTCATTACATAAGACGCAGCTGGCACATGGAAGATAAGGTACAGAAATATAGAAATTATAAAAATAGTCAAGCATGCCTTCTGTGATTTTGGTCACGTGCCTAACAGACAGGCTAGTAGTTTCCTGTGAACGTTCCATGGCCTCAGGAGACTGTTGAGGCCTGAACTTCGGCCTTACCATCTCAACATATGAGCAAACATCAAATTCATCAGATTCCTGATTGACATTAGCGCAGAAGTATGATTGAGATATTTTTCAGGCTTGAAAGACATTGATTTTCTCCATATTGTAGGTGTCTGTATTATTTCTCTCTGAATGTGTATATCTCCAAATGCATAATCTCTCCCCAAGACTTCCAGATAAACAGTCATGTGAAAAAAAGTACACTCTCCTTGACTTCTATGATTTTATATATCAGGACGTAGTAAAAATTTGTCCTTAGAAGTTCTTAAAAGTAGGTTAATACAACCACAGAGGAACAACAACACATGACATATTACATCAGGTCATCTTTTATTTTATAAAAAGAAAGCCAAAACAGAGAAGTCATGTGTTAAAAAAAGTAAGATTCAATAATTGTAGAACCACCTTTAGCAGCAACAACTAGAAGTAATTCTTTTCTGTATGACTTTATCAATCTCTTGCAGCGTTGTGCAGGAATTTTGGCCCATTCTTCTTTACAACATTGCTTCAGTTCATTGAGGTTTGTGGGTGTTTTTTTATGCACAACTCTCTTGAAGTCCCGCCAATCGGGTTGAGGTCTGGACTTTGACTGCCATGGCAACACCTTGATTCTTTTCTTTTCCAGCCATTCTGTTGTAGATTTGCTGATGTGTTTTGTGTCCATTCTCCTGTTGCATAATCCTATGTCAGCCAAGCTTTACCTATTGGACAGATGACCTCACTTTTGACTCTAGAATACTTCGGTATATAGATGAGTTCATGGTCAACTCAAAGAGTGTAAAGTGTCCAGGTCCTGTGGCTGCAAAACAAGCCCAAATCATCACCCCTCCACCACCGTGCATGATGGTTTGTATGAGAAGCTTGTGCTGATATGCTGTGTTTGGTTTTCGTGAAACGTGTCACTGCATTATGGCCATCCACCTCTACTTTGGTCTGGTCTGTGCAAAGGACAGTGTTCCAAAAGTCATGTGATTTGTTTAGATGCAACTTTGCAAACCTCAGCCATGCTGCTATGACCTTTTTAGAGAGAAGACGGTTTCTCCTCACAACCCTTCCAAACAAGCCATACTTCTTCAGTCTTTTTCTAATTGCACTGTCATGAATATTAACATTTAACATGCTAATTGAAGCCTGTAGAGTCTGAGATATAACTCTTCATTTTTTTGCAATTTCTTTGGCCATTGCATGGTCTGGCCTTGGGGTGAATTTTCTTGGCTGTCCAGTCCTGGGAAGATTGGCAACTGTCTTGAATGTTTCCCACTTATGAATAATCTTTTTAACAGTTTAACAGAGTTGGAAGGGACTTTATACATCATCTAATCCAACCCCTCCCCCCTTTGTGGCAGCCCCTCAAATATTGGAAGACTGCTATCATGTCACCCCTGGTCCTTCTCTTCACTAGACTAGCCATGCCCAGTTCCTGTAACCATTCTTCATATGTTTTAGTCTCCAGTCCCCTAATTATCCTGGTTGCTCTCCTCTGCACTTTTTCTAGAGTCTCAACATCTTTTTTATAGTATGGGGATGAAAACTGGATGCAATACTCTAGGTGCGGTTTTACTAAGGCTTTATAGAGTGGTATTAGTACCTCACTTGATCTTGATTGTATCCCTCTGTTAATGCAATTTATACGAGCAGTTGATCAAGGGCAATGTAAGCCCTCCAGTCACCGGGGCTGCCAATCGCACAGAGACCTTGGCCGCACCCCATATCAAGAGCTGCCAGATGGGCTGGACGTTCATGGGGGCCTGGCTTACATGCCGCGCCGGGAGCTGCCACCTGGGAGGCATGGCTATACCCTCACGCCGCGCCGGGAGCCACCAGTTCAGCGGCAAAAGGCCTCCATGGCTTGAAAAGCACCTACCGTTGTTGAGGCGATGCCCTGCTTTATCCAGGGCCGCATGAAGCCTGCCAGGGCTGGATGGGAGGCGAGGCCGGTGTGTGGTGCCCGCAGGATGTATGGCCTGCGCACTGGGTTCTATCATCACTGGATGCCATGTAAGGAATGGGCAGTTATAGGGGCGGGTCCTGGATGGAGCTTTGTGGGTGAAACTGACGCTATATAAACGGTGGAGGGATTAACCACGTTAGCACTGATTTTGCCTATTGCCTGTTTGTCACTTCGTGCTGCTTGTTATAGCTTGTTGGATAAAGTTTGTCAGTTAACCATCTTTGGCTCTGTCTAAATTCCTTGCTGACGGCCAGAACATGACAGGCATTTTATTAGCAGTACTCAGCTGCTACTTCACCTCTTTATACAATGGAAGCAGTGATAAATTTCCTAATGGTGAGAACAATTAACCTGCAGGAACAGCTTTCCTTCAGAAGTTGTGGTGCTCCATCACTGGAAACCTTTCAGAAGAGACGTAATAGCCACTTCTCCGAAATGGTATAAGGTCTCCTGCTTGAGCAGGGCTTGCATTAGAAGACCTCCAAGGTCCCTTCCAATTCTGTTATTACCTTCTGTTCTGTTGCGATGATACTTATGATACCCTGAAAAGTAAAACCATAGAAATGAAAGAGGATGTACTTTCTTTTTCACTTGACTGTATGTGAAAACAACACTTTGCACTGCTAAGAATTTGTGATTGACCCAGTCAACAAGGGAATTTCATCACTGAATGGATATTCGAATTTGGATCTGGGTAGTCTTCCATGTGTCATGATTAATGTAAGAGCTTCTTTGAGTATTGTAGCATGTTTGCTTTTTCATTGTAATGTAACCGTATTTCTTTTTTTCTCATCTTCTGCAGCCATTTCGTGCACAATTAAAGATACATTTTTATTTGAATCTTATAGACAAAGAAGATGGCAATGAGCACTCTGGACAACTGAGGATAACAAGCAACATTGAACACCAAAGCAAGTCAGTCCAGAAATCAATATATCTTCCATTTCCTTCAGAGAGCCACAGAATTCTTAATCTTCCTCAGCAAGTGAGAGGAAAACAAGAGAAAATCAGGAAGAGATTCCTAGCTGAGAAAAGCAGAGTGTGAAATTCAAGCAGACATTACATGAAAAGTCAAGGCAGATTATTTTTCCATTGGGCAAAAGAGGGAAATATCTGGAAGTTACTGGGGAGGAAAAGGTCAATTGGAAAACCACGTAGAACAGACAGAGTTGCAGGTCCACTCTAGGGGGAAGAAAACAGCTTGAATCAAAGCACTGCTAAACAAGGAATCATCCATATTTTTTACGTCCAAAGGAATATGAGTTGTGGAAAAGCTCCATAGATGTGGGAAAGATACAACTTGCAAATCACAGCTGATTATGCCTGAGAGGATCCCGACTGGAGAAAAGCCATACAATACTCTAAATGTGGCAAAACCACTGATCAGAACACCTCCATTGTGGTTCTTGGAAGGACCCACACAGGAGAGAAGCCCTACAAGTGCTCCCAATGCAACAAATGCTTTAGGAAGCATGGCATCATGGACTCACACCAAGGAGAAACCGTTTGAATGTCCTGATTGTGGAAAATGTTTCAGTCAGAATTTCAGCCTAGTTCAACACCAGAGGATTCATACAGGAGAGAAACCGTATGAGTGTCCTGTTTGTGGGAAAAGTTTCCGTCAGAATTCCAGCCTTGTGACACACCAGAGGATTCATACAGGAGAGAAACCCTTTGAGTGTCCTGATTGTGGGAAAAGCTTCAGTCAGAATTCCAGTCTGGTGACACACCAGAGGACACACACAGGCGAGAAACCCTTTGAGTGTCCTGATTGTGGGAAATGTTTCAGTAACAATTCCACTCTGGTGAAACACCAGAGGACTCACACAGGAGAGAAACCCTTTGAATGTCCTGACTGTGGGAAAAGTTTCAGTCAGAATTTCAGCCTAGTTCAACACCAGAGGATTCACACAGGAGAGAAACCCTTTGAATGTCCCGATTGTGGTAAAAGTTTGAGTACCATTTTCAGCCTTGTGACACACCAGAGGATTCACACAGGAGAGAAACTTTTTGAATGTTCTGACTGTGGGAAAAGTTTCCGTCAGAATTCCAACCTGGTTCAACACCAGAGGACTCACACAGGAGAGAAACCCTTTAAATGTCCTGACTGTGGGAAAAGTTTCAGTCAGAATGCCACACTGGTTCAACACCAAAGGATTCACACAGGAGAGAAACCTTTTAAATGTCCTGACTGTGGGAAATGTTTCCGTCAGAATTCCAACCTTATTGGCCACCAGAGGATTCATGCAGCAGAGAAACCGTTTGAATGTCCTGATTGTGGAAAACGTTTCTGTCAGAATTCCTATCTCATCAGCCACCAAAGAATTCACACAGCAGAGAAACCATTTGAATGTCCTGATTGTGGAAAATGTTTCGGTCACAATTCCAACCTGGTGAAACACCAGAGGACTCACACAGTAGAGAAACCCTTGGAATGTTCTGATTGTGGTAAAAGTTTCAGTACGAATTCCACCCTGTTGAAACACCAGAGGACTCACACAGGAGAGAAACCCTTTGAATGTCCTGATTGTGGAAAATGTTTCCGTCAGAATTCCTATCTCATCAGCCACCAAAGGATTCATGCAGGAGAGAAACCGTTTGAATGTCCTGATTGTGGAAAATGTTTTAGTCACAAAACCAACCTGGTGAAACACCAGAGAACTCACACAGGAGAGAAACCCTTTGAATGTACTGATTGTGGTAAAAGTTTCAGTACGAATTCCACCTTGGTGAAACACCAGAGGACTCACACAGGAGAGAAACCTTTTGAATGTCTTGATTGTGGGAAAAGTTTCAGTAAGAATTCCAACCTGCTTCAACACCAGAGGACTCATACAGGAGAGAAACCGTTTGAATGTCCTGACTGTGGGAAAAGTTTCAGTCAGAATTCCAACCTGGTTCAACACCAGAGGATTCATACAGGAGAGAAACCGTTTGAATGTTCTGATTGTAGTAAAAGTTTCAGTACGAATTCCACCCTGGTGAAACACCAGAGGATTCACACAGGAGAGAAACCCTTTGAATGTCTTCACTGTGGGAAAAGTTTCAGTCATAATTCCAGCCTGGTTCAACACCAGAGAACTCACACAGGAGAGAAACCGTTTGAATGTCCTGACTGTGGGAAAAGTTTCAGTCAGAATTCCAACCTGGTTCAACACCAGAGGATTCATACAGGAGAGAAACCATTTGAATGTTCTGACTGTGGTAAAAGTTTCAGTACGAATTCCACCTTGGTGAAACACCAGAGGACTCACACAGGAGAGAAACCCTTTGAATGTCTTGACTGTGGGAAAAGTTTCAGTCATAATTCCTGCCTGGTTCAACACCACAGGACTCATACAGGAGAGAAACCGTTTGAATGTTCTGTTTGTGGTAAAAGTTTCAGTACGAATTCCACCCTGGTGAAACACCAGAAGACTCACACAGGAGAGAAACCCTTTGAATGTCCTGACTGTGGGAAAAGTTTCCGTCAGAATTCCAACCTCATCGGCCACCAGAGGATTCATACAGGAGAGAAACCATTTGAATGTTCTGATTGTGGTAAAAGTGTCAGTACGAATTCCACCCTGGTGAAACACCAAGGGACTCACACAGGAGGGAAACTATATGAGTGTCCAGACTGTGGGAATGATCTCAGTACTAAGGTTAACCTTACAAATCATGTACTCATACACAAAGGGGAGAAATCATTTTAATGCCCCGAGTGTGGATGGTGCTTCAGGAAACTTTCCACCCTTATTGTACACAGAAAATCTCCTGAGGCCCCAGTTGATTAGTGTAAAGAAGGGTTGAATTTCATTTCTGGTGTCCCATTGTAAGTCCAGCTGAGAAATTGACTATTTAATTTGATTAAATTAAATAGAATTTGCCTGATTTTTTGTAGGCAAATATGTAATGGTATTAGATGGGTCAGAGGAAAGAAAAAGTTGATACATATTACTTTGATATTGGTTATCTTGCCTTCAGCATAAGAAGTTGCTGGATATTTATTTTTTTGAAATTGGGCAATTATGTAAAAATCTTTTTGGGAGTGTTCTTTGCATTTTTATGATGATAGATGATAGAAATGCTATGTGCCAGGAGTCCCAGCCTTTTTCTCCCTGTGTGCCCCCAAGATTTTCAGCCTTAGAATTCTCCAGCCAGCATCTCTTGGGGATTGGAGCACTGAGACTATAGTTAAGAGATTGTGGTTCTTCATATAAGGAAAAAACAAGCGGAGAAGAGACATGAGGGCTTTTTTCAATGTTCTTCTTTTTCTACCCTGTTTCCTCCAAAATAAGACATCCCATGATAATAAGACCAATCGTGCTTTTTTAAAAAATTATTATTATTTTGTCTTTTACATCAAACAAACATTAAATCTATAGCGGTCTACATCACAGCGCGAGAAGGAAGTAAAATTGTCCCATTACATATATAGGATAGCCAAGAAAAGTCTATTACGTATACCAAGTGACATGTTTATCAGATACATCAGTTTGCAGCTCGGTTTGACATCCAATTGTACCATTGACTCCAAGATATATAATAGTTTGTGTCCCCTCATCCTTTCAGTATCATAGTAAGCCGATCTGATTCCGCACAGTTCATTATTTTCTGAATTACTACTTGTTTGGGTGGGCTGACATCCATCTTCCTGTATTGGGCCCATGCCAATCTTGCAGCTGTTGTTATATGTAGCAACAGGTACCATGTCATTTTGTTTACATTTTTGGGTCTTATCCCTAATAAAAATACCTCAGGACGCAGTTGTATATGCTGCCCCAACATCTCATTAAGCCATTTCTGAATATTCTTCCAAAATTTCATTGCCTCTCGACAGGTCCACCATTGGTGGAAGTATGTGCCCTCTTTAACACCACATTTCCAACAGACTGAGGGTGTTCCAGGGAACATTTTGGCGAGTCTGGCCGGCAGTAAATGCCATCGATATGCCATTTTATATATGTTTTCTTTATATGCTATTGACCGGGTTAGTTTAATATTCTTAGTCCAGATTTCGTTCCACCTCTCAGGCTCTATTGAATGACCCAGATTTTTCTCCCAGGCATGAACCGAAGTCTTCGCACCTTCCTCAGCTACCTCCATAGCCATAAAGAATTTATAGCACTTAGTTAACACCTTTTCATCCACCCCCAGTAAAATCCTATCCAAAGTCTGCACCTCTCGGCTAATCCCGAGTCTCTGTCTATCTCTCATATACTTACTACTAATTTGCATGTATATCCACCAGTCTAAGTTCACTCCTTGTTCCTGAAGTGACAATTTTGTTTTTAACTTCCCATTTGAATCTAATATTTCTTTATAAGTCAATTTTTTCTCTGTACAAAATTGGATAGATCACAGCTTCCACAGGTGAGATCCAGAGTGGTACCTTATTATAATATGTTTTCCTAATTTCCATCCAACTCTCAATCAGAGCTCCTCACACGTGATGTTTAGTAAAGTATGCTGGGGGTTTACCTCTTTCCCACCATAGGTGGGCATGCCACACCTGTTGGAGATCGTGGCCTTCAATTGCTAACAAACGTTTCCCTTGTAGTGTAATCCATTCATGAACCCAAACCAAAACCGCCGAATTGTAATAAAACTTCCAATTTTGGTACCCCAAACCCGCCTTGTTCTTTCGGGTTCTGCATCATTTTCAACTTAATTCGAGGCTTCTTGCCCTGCCAAATGAATCTATTAGTAGCCCTGTCCAGATTCCTAAAAAAGGTTTTATCCAATCTAACTGGGGCCGTTTGAAAAAGAAATACCATTCTAGGCACTACCTGGGTCTTGATTAAGGCTATCTGTCCCATTAATGACAGTTGTAGCCTGCCCCATTTCTCCAAATCTTTGTCTAATTGCTCAATTAATTTTAAATAGTTATCCGCCTTTATTGAGGAGCATCTATCAGACAACCAAATCCCTAAATATTTGACTTTACGAACTACCTGGAGGCCCAAAGTGTTTTGTAGTTCTAATTTCTGTATTTCCGTCATGTTTTTAACTATAATATTCGTTTTCTTTCTATTTATTTGTAATCTAGCTACTTCACCGAATTTCTGTATCTTGTCAATAAGCTGCAAACCGGAGGTTAGTGGCTCTTCCAGAACAAAGACCAGGTCGTCCGCAAACACCTGGACCTTGTATTCTTGTTCTCTGATCTTTAGCCCTCTTATGCCCACATCCTGTCTTATTGACCTAAGCAAAGGTTCTAAAGTAAATATAAACAGCAATGGAGAAAGTGGGCAACCTTGTCTCGTTCCCTTCGCTTTCGTCACCTCATCCGACTCTTCTCCATTGACCAGAATCTTGGCCTTCTGTTGACTATAAATTGCCTGGATTGCATTCATGAAATAGTCGCCAGCCTCCATATATCTCAATTGTGCTATAAGATAATTCCAATTGACCCTGTCGAAGGCTTTCTGGGCGTCCAGAAAGAGGAATGCCGCCTGCTTTTCAGGGCGGGCCTCGTAGTATTCCAGGGCATCTATTATGATTCGTACATTATCTTTCAACTGTCTGGTAGGTAGAAAACCATTTTGATCTATATGAATGAATTCGCTAAGATATCTCTTAAATCTAGCTGCCATTACAGTTGCAAAAATTTTATAGTCGGCGTTGAAAAGTGAGATGGGCCTATAGTTATGTATCAGAGTATGGTCCACCCCTTCCTTTGGTATTAGAGAAATATAGGCTTCTAGCCATGACATGGGAGCCTTAGACTCCATAAACACCATATTAAATATTTCCTTCATATATTTTATAAGCAGATCTGTAAAGGTTTTATAAATCTCAGCAGGCAAGCCATCAGTACCAGGAGTTTTACCGGCCTTCTGCCTCTTGATTGCAATCGCTATCTCTCCTTCCGTAGTCTCCTTATTCAACAGGTCCTTGACTGAATCTGGGAATTTGGGAAGATCGGAATGTTCCAAATATTCCTTAATTTTCTCATCCGACACCTGCTCATTAGCATAAAGTTGTGAAAAGAATTCCTGTGCAATCCTTTTTTTCCGTTCATTATCTACCCATATGATTCCTGTCTTATCCTGTAGTTGATCTATCCGCCTACTTTCCCTTTCCTTCTTTAGTTTATAAGTAAGCTACCGGACCGCCCTATTACCATGCTCAAAATGATGCTGTTTGACCATTCTAAGTTTATGTGCTATTTCCTCCTGGTCTAGTAATATGAGTTGATGTTTACTTGCGTCTACTGCTTCCTTAGCTTTGACATCTAGTGGGTTAATCTGTAAATTCCTCTCTGCAGCCCACACCTTCACTATCCACCTTTCCCTCTCCTTAAGTTTCTGTCTTTGCTTCCCCGCTATATACTTAATCGCTAGCCCTCTCATATAGGCTTTCGCCATATCCCACAAAATCTGTATCGAGGTTTCATTATTATCATTGACCCCAAAAAAGGCTTCCATTTCTCTCTTTACCATTTGTTGAAATTCTATCTCCGTTAAAATACTTGTTCTCAACATCCACCTCATATTTCTTTTAATTGTATCCCTTTTCCACCTAACCAATAGTGGACTATGGTCTGCCCAGGTATTAGGTTCTATATTTGTTGCTACAGTTTGACCGTAAGACCCAACTCATACTCATATCTGCACATACTTTCGGAAGTATTCTCCTATTTTCTCTCTTTTGACTGTTCCCCAGTATATAGTCCAAATCCCTGTTAATTACTGCATTAAAATCGCCTAATATAGATATATGGTCATATTGCAGATCAACAAGTTTTTGATACACTTTTTGATAGAAATCAGACTGTCCGTTATTTGGAGCATATATTCCCACCAAGAGGACCTGTAGCTGGCCTATATGTATCTCCAACATTAGAATTGTTCCCTCATCATCCATATAAACTAATTTAGGTTCCAGGTAATTCCTAACATAGAAGACCACACCTCTTTGCTTCTCATTGGCTAACGTAGCATACAGTTACCAAATTCAGGACATTGCAAAACACATTCACATTGTTTTTTAATATGCATTTCCTGAAGACATATAACATCCATTTTCAATTTTAGTAAATTCTTGAAAACCTGCTTCCTCTTCACCTGTGCATTCAAACCATTTATATTTAATGAGAACAAACATATTTCTTCCCCCATCTTTACCTATCTGCATTCTTTGCCTTAGTGGTCTGTCTGGTTACCCGTTGGTTGCTCTCCCCTTCTCCTTCCCTTACTCCTACCGCTCCCTTCTCCTCCTGCCCTCCTTCCTGACCCTTACTATCTACCTCATATTCACTTTCCCTTCCTCCTTCCCTTTCCGAAGTTGTAAATTCACTCTCAAGAAATTCATCAGGGGTTTCAAGACATACTCTCTTCCCCTGCCACGACACCAAAAGCCCATCTGGAAGTAACCACTTATATCTCACATCATATTTTCATAATCGTGTTGTCAGAGCTTGGTAATTTCATCTTCGGTTTCGCACTTTCTTTAGTACCTGTCTCAAAACGGTGACCTGTTTACCAGTGTATTTTATCACCTGGCCCTTCGATCTCTGATATACTTCCTCTCGTAACAATCTCTTATTGAATTTTACATGAACTTCCCTCGGGAGGTTCTGTCTCCTTGTAAATGATGTAAAAACCTGGAAACACTCGTTAATACCACTGTGCACCACTTGCGGGTCTTTCTGCAGCATCCCTGCCACCATCTCAACCATCTTGTCTTCCAAATTTTCTTCTGACTCCTCCCTAACATTTTGAAATCTCAGGATGTGGGCAGACTTCTCCATCTCAAGCAGAACTATATTGTCTTCAAGCTGCTTATTAACCAATAGCTGTCGCAACTCACACCTCTCTATTACCGCCTCAACCTTCTCCACCTTTGTAGCTACCTCCTGAATCTGGTCCTCGTGTTTTTCCATTGTCACACACACATCATTCAATCTCTCAGAGTTTTGTTTCATTTCCCCTCGCATGCCTCCCATCTCCTGTTTCAGTTTAGCCAGATCCTTCACTGTGGCCTCCTGGTTTTTTGTCATTGCTTCCTGTATAGAATGTAGTAAATTCTGAATTCTTTGGAGCGTAGGGGTCTTCTCGGCCACAGATTTATGTGGAGTAGGAGGGGTCATAATTGGAGCCGTAGATGCTGTTGATGTCGGGAGCTTCTTTCCGGTCTTAGTTGAGGAGCTAGACATTTCTGTTAAGCAGAGGAACCTCCTCCAGGGTAGCATATAACTAAGATGAGCCCAAAGGTACTAGTTATTGCTCTACACTATCCCAATAATTAATCAATATTTTAATCTATTAACGAGTTACTTTGCTATTTAATCAATTGTCTAATATTAAACAAGCAGTAGCATGAAGGAATGAACAGTATAAAGACCAAATGTCTGTCCAGCAAAAGTAATAAGAGGGAGCAAAGCTACTCGTAACAAGGGAATTTGAAAGAGAAAGTACTGTTCGGCTAAAATATTACAGTTCTCCTGTCTTGCAGACGCTCCTCCCTGGTCTTCCTGTACTCAAGTACAACTATCCATAACAATCTCGTTAAAATGCCTTGGGCACCACCAAATCCACCTCCAAGTCAGGGGAAGGTCGATAGGAGTAGCTCTTCCAGCACTTACCAGCTAATTAGGGGGTAGAGGTCTGAAAAAGTTCCAAATACACTCAAGATTAAAGGAAAGCAGCGCCCATCCGATCCGCCAGGCAACTCGGCACCCAGTCTCTGATTTTCCACTACCGCCTCCAAGTTACTCTTGAAAATCATTGTGCTGCTTCCAGCCAAAAAAAATAAGCCTTGCGCCCCCCAAATTCCTTCAGTGTCAATCCTGAGGGGAGAGTCTCTTCCTTTCTCGCAATCCAGTTTATTTATTTCACCGCCAATACCACTTCCACTCCATTCCCGCAAAAGCGCTTTGTCATGGCGATGGGGCCTCTGTCCTCTCTACAGGGCCCTCTTCTCACCGGAGATCAGGATCATCCTTCACTTTGTCGGGGGTTCACACTACTCCCGGCTAGTCCGGACTTTCATCCTTCTTTGCCGATCGCTCCACGATCGGCAACGACTCATTTAGCCACTTGGCAAAGAGAAATAAAAGTTTCGTGGCTCAGGAGAACTTTCCCTACCACTCTACTTACCTATGACGTCATGCCAGAAGTCCAAGCCCAATCGTGCTTTTGAGTGCATGGTAATAAGGCCAAGCACTTATTTCAGGATTCAAAAAAATATAAGACAGGGTCTCATTTTTGGGAAAACACTATAACAGTTCCAGAAATTCAGTGCACCAAGCATGTCTGTTCAGATTGTGTCAAGAATGAGGCACACAAGTGGAAGAAACCATATGAATAGCAAATATATTGGGAAAGTTTAGAGCAGTGATAAAAGCAGTGTAAAATTTCAGATGTACAGAAAAAAGTGACTGATGACTGTTTTTCCCATGACCATTGCAGCATCCCCATGGTCACATGATCAAAATTCAGATGCTTGGCAAAACACCCATAATTATGATGATTGCAGTGTCCCGGACTCATGTGATCCTCTTTTCTCACCTTCTGACCAACAAAGTCAACAGGGAAGCCAGATTCACTTAACAACTGTGTGACTAATTTAACAACTGCAGTGATTCACTTTTTTTTTTTTATTTGATTTATATGCCGCCCTTCTCCGGAGAGTCAGGGTGGCTTACAATGTGCTCAGCAATAGCCTTCATCCTTTTGTATATTTATACAAAGTCAGCTTATTGCCCCCACAACTGGGTCCTCAATTTACCTTCCTTAGAAAGGATGGAAGGCTGAGTCAACCTTGAGCCTTGGCGAGATTCGAACCTGCAGTAATTGCAGGCAGCTGGTCTTAATAACCAGCTTAATAACAGGGTGCCTTAGACCACTGTACTACCAAGGCACTTAACAACTGTGGCAAGAAAAGTTGTAAAATGGGGCAAAACTCACTTAACAAATGTCTCACTTAGCAACAGTGAAATTTTGCGCTGAATTGCAGTTGAGGACTACTTTTATTTACATAAAGTATCAGAGTTGGAAGCGACCTACTGATCAAGACAGGAGACCCTATTCCATTTCAGACAAGAGACTGTCCAGTCTCTTCTTAAAAGCCTCCAACCGAAACCCTGTCCTTTAATGCTGCTGAAGTTCTTGGGATCATTTCATCAATTAACATCCTCCCCTTGCTTTAAAGTTAGATCAAAAAGTGTGAGTGTATTGTATGGAGTAATCACGACAGACACACCCCTCCACCCAAAGAATGAAATATTTGGGGGGATATTAAGAGGCAGAATATTATATTTCCCCAAAGGAGAAATGGAGAAAAAATACTAGCAAAGGCAGAAAGCAGCCACAACAGTTTCCAGCAGATGCCTGAAGTTTTTAGAGATGGATATTTTGTGTCCATTAAGAAATCTAGGCCAGCCCATTCACAAACAAAACACCTAGAATGCCAATTGATGGGATTAATTACAAATTAAAATTTGCATTTCCCCATCCAAAATCTAAGGACAGGACATAACTTTTTACTACAGGGGTCTTCAAAGTACAGCCTGTGGGGTGCATATGGCCTGCTGAAGCAATGTATTGGGCCCACGCAGTGGTGGGATTCAGCCCTGCCCCTCGCCCCACCCCTACCAGCCATTTCTTGCATGGCTGGCTGTGCCACCTGCATGGCCCCTCCTCTAGCCGTCACCCTTATCTTCCAATGCACAGGAGTATGCTCACCGCAAAGGTAAGGGGGTTTTTCACAATGGGGGAAACAGGGTCTCCTCCTCCTGGAGCCCATTATGACGTGGAGCCACAGTATGACCCTGACCCACTCTCCCCTGACAACACTAGCATTGGCGTCAGCTTGTTTTCGCCTCCCAGATGTCAGTCACTTTTCCTGCAGATACTGCAGGCTGCCTGTCTTGTGATGCCCTGCCTCCCCGCCAGCCAGGTGGTCTTTGGGTCTCTGCCGACCAGTTGATCATTGTATGGCTCATCAGCCTCTGGATGTCAGATTCCCACCATCTAGCACCAGTTCAGGGGTTCCTTCCTCTGCCTCCGGACAGCGAGAGAGAGAGACAGAGACTGAGGAAGGGAAGGAAGGATGATAGGAAGGAAGACAGATTCAGGGGTTGTGGTAAAAACTGTAGTTCAGTAATAAGGATGTGATGGCCCTCCAGTGGCTACTGCACTAGACTCCCATCATTCCTGACTATTAGTTGTGTTGTTTAAAAAATCCAGTGCCACCAGGGAGAAGTCAGGTTGTGAGTGATTGAAATTCCTCACATCTGCAAATTTGATGAGTTCCCCATCTATCCCCTCCTCATTGATGAAGATGTTGAAGAGTACTGGGCCTAAAACAGAGCCTTGGGGTACTCCACTACATACTTCCCTCCATGTAGATGCAGTTCCATTGAGGACTATACGTTGAATGCGGTTGGTCAGCCAGTTACGAATCCATCTGGTGCTGATGCTGTCCAACCCACACTTTTCTACTTTATCTAGTAGTAGGTTATGGTCTACTTTATCATAAAATAAAATACCTAGGCATTTGGATAACGGCAAGATACTCGGCCCTAAAAGAAGATAATTACAAGTCCTTAATTAATAAAGTTAAACAAGACTTGGAAAGGTGGGGGAAATCACAACTATCACTCTTAGGCAGGATAGCCTCAATAAAGATGAGCGTCCTGCCTAAACTATTATATCTGTTCCAAACCATCCTAGTCTACCTAGATAAAAAATTCTTCTTAGAATTGAATAGCATCACCAGGAAATTCATTTGGGGAGGGAAAAAACCAAGGATTGCCTTACAAACATTACAGGATAAAAGGAATAGGGGCGGCTTTAGACTCCCAGCATGGGAAATGTATCACAAAGCAGCAAACTTGGTATGGTTAAGGGAATGGGCCACCTTAGATAATAAAAGAATCCTGACACTAGAAGGACATGATCTGCAGAGAGGCTGGCACACCCATCTCTGGGATAAAAGCCAAAGGACAAGGACATATTTCCACAGGTATAAAACAAGAGATGCACCAATGCAGACCTGGAAAGAAATTAGACAAGTGCATTACACGAAGGTCCCGAAATGGATATCCATAATGGAGGCTATAATATATCCCAATATGTTAGGTATGAAAAAATGTTCAGATATGAAGATATCCTTGATAGTGGCGGGAATCTTAAAACCAATGAAGCCTTGAAAGAGCAAGGTATTCATATTGATTGGTGGCCTTATTTACTAATTAAGTAGAGATACCAGAAAGATAAGAAGGAATTTGGCACAGAACTAGGAACTAATGGATTAGATAAGATTTGGATGGGTACAGAAAACTACTAGCCAAATTATACACGTATTTGCTCGAATACCAAAGGGAAGAGGAGGTAGTCAAAAAACAGATGATTGCATGGGAAAAAAAACATTGGACGTAGTATAAATTTAGACGACTGGGAAACAATCTGGAATTGCAATCTTAAATTGACAAGAGTGGTAGCATATAAAGAGAACCAGTATAAGATGATATATAGATGGCATTTAGGCCCCACTAGAATAGCGAAAATCTATCCAAACGTGAATCCAAAGTGTTGGAAACGTGGCCATTATCAAGGCTCCTTCTACCACATGTGGTGGTCGTGCCCCGAAGCGACGAAATACTGGAAAAAGATACAAAGATGGACCCAAGAAATAATAGAAGAAACAGTTGATTTGGAACCAGAAACTTTTCTCATGGGAATACCAAAAAGGACCTACGGAAGGAAAAGAAATATCTAATCACACACATTATCACATCTGCTAGAATAATGTATGCAAAGCACTGGAAAGAGAAAGGGCAGCCACCGGAGGAGCATATAATTGGAAAAATATTAGAGTGCGCAAAGATGTGTAAATTAACTCATGAAATAAATGAGAAAGAGAACTCAGAATTTTACACGGTGTGGGAAATGTGGTATAAGTGATTGGAAGGTAAACACAAAAAGTAAAAGGAGAGAGAGTGTGAATAGTAAATCAATTATGTAATCTAAGAGACAACATGTATATAAATTTGTGTAAATGTAAAAACCGCAGCCTGAACGAAAACTGTTGAATTGTATAACTATGTAACTTAATAAAAATTAAAAGAAAGAAGTTGGAACAAGGAGGCATAGATTGAAAAAAAAGGCAATATATGTAATATAGTATGTAAGTGTAAGCGTCTATAAGAGATTAAGTATGTGTAACTAAGTAAGTAAATTAGTAAGTAGTAATGTATATTGAATACATAAGTGACTTATGTTATACTTTATATGGCGGAGATATCACCAAGACGGTTCCACCATGTACAATTTTTTTAAAAAAACATCTCTCAAGTAAGCAGGGTGTGGATCCTATGCAGAAGAGACTCAGACAGACATCACCCTAATTCACAGGAGTATAAGAAGCGGGAAGAAGGTACAAAGAACAAACTTGTATGTGTTTTTTTCCAAAAAAGAAAACATGACTCAACTTACCAAAAACAGAACAGTAAATGACAGGTTGCGAATGCAAATTAAAATACAGGTAATCCCTGGGTTATGAGCATTCCCTTAGCCCTAGTAATTTGAAGTTACACAAATACTGCAAGATCATGTGAAATAAGTAGCATGAGATCTTGTGCTACTGATACCATGTGATCTCGCACTTTAGGCCTCTATTCTCTGTGAATTGAGACCTAGACATTTGCAAATGGATGGAAGGCTTTGGGCCTTCCCTCCATTTGCTGTTTCGTTGCTGAAGCCTGCAGGGAGATTACGTTCATGTAGGCTTTGGCAGCAATATGCAAAACGCTTTTGTTGGCACCAGCAGAGCCTGGGAGGAGTAGGCGTGTCCCTAAGAAGCCCTACTCCTACAGGCAAAGATTTTTTGAAAAGGGCTGTCGAAGCCTAAAGGGTTGCAATCCTCAAGCACTTTGGCGACAAGAAAGAAGGCCCGACAGGCCGCGCGCAGCCTCTCAGGGCTGCTTTCTTGGTGCTGGAGGCCTTATCAAGCCTTTAGGTGACAAGAAAGGATCTGTGGGTTGGGGGAGGCCTTGGGTGGTCTGAAGTGGGTATCCTCTTTCCTCCCTAGGTCTCCTTTGGCTTTCCCTCACCGCAAGATACATCATGTGCACTTAACAAGCCTCACATTCGATTAGCAAATGCTTGTACAAATGGAGGGAGAGATCACCTTCAAATGACGAGATTCACTTCCACAAATCCTTGAGTTACAAAGAATGGAATGGGCAGGCTCTATTACAGTTGTAGGGTGCCCCCGGTTCTCACCGGTTCTATAGAACCAATAGTAAAACCGGCGGGAGGCTTCGCCCCCCAACCCCATCATCAGAATGCTTCTGCACATGCGCACAAGAGCGTGCGTGGCCCCGTTGCGAACCAGTAGTAAAGGTACGTAGAACCCACCCCTACTCCATTACATTCGTAACTCGAGGTCTACCTGTATGCAAAAATAAGGTAAGAGAACACCTGTCAGCTCTAGATCAATTCAAATCACTGGATCTGGACAGGTTACATTCCAGAGTTCTGAAGGAACTAGCAAATGTGATTTCAGAAGTATTGAAACATATTTTTCAAAATCCTTGGAGCATGGGGGAACTAGAGGTAGTCCTCAACTGTCAACAGTTCCTTTAGTAACCAAATTTATAACAACACTGAAAAAAATGACTTATGGACATTTATCACACTTATGACCATTGTACCGTGTTTCCCCGAAAATACGACATGTCCCGAAAATAAGACCAAGTGAAGGTTCGGGGGTGGCCAGCAGAGGAGGCAGCCCTTTCCTTCCCCGGTCACCTCATAGAGCTTCAGCCCCTTAATTGCTGCCCGCTGATCAGATGAGCGACCGAGATCTCCAGAGCACCTCCCCAGCTGCTGGCCTCCTCCCCCTTTTCCTGCCAATCGTTGTTTACTTGGAATCACAGCACAGACACACATCTCCAAAATGCTCCATCCGGAGCCTTCAGCCTTGCAATCCTGGAAGGGGTGTCTGTGCTCTGATCGCAAAGAAAGAATGGTGTGTGTGTGAGAGAGAGAGAAAGAGAGAGAGAGAGAGAGAGATCTACAATCCAAACTCGAGAGTTATCCAGGGCTGGCAGCAATGTTCTCTCCACCCCACCCAACCCTCTCTCTCACACACACATACACACAGGTCCCTCACCCCCAACCCTCCCAAGGCAGCCACATCCCTGCGAACTCCTGTGCCCCCCTGCCGCCCCGGCACTGACCGTACACCAAGCGCCTTCCCTGGGCAGTACACCAGGCTGGGCACGGGTCTCTCAGCAGTGATGGCTGAGGCGCTGTAGGTGCTGCTGCTGCTGCTACCTGTTGAGGCTCTGGCTGGACCACTGAGGGCCAAGTTCAACCATGGACAGGGAGTGCTGGCCATGGCCGGGTCAGCCAAGCTACATTTGTTGGGGCTGCCCTTGGCACAGCTGCCCGGCGTCTCGCTGCCAGGCACCAGAGAAGAGTAACCGGGGCCTGCAGGAAGAAGGGTGGGCGGGCAAGGGTCCTGCGAGACTCCCCTCCCCAGGAAGAGTCTGGCCTGGTTGCCATCCTGTCCGGTGACTCCAAAGGCGGAGGGGCTTCCTCAGCTTGCTGGCGGGCACTCCAATCGGTCAGCGCTTGGGTGGAGGGACCACGGGGCGATTGGAGCGGAGAAGAGCAGGGGGGAAAGGGGAAGCCTCCAGTGACTATCACCATAGAGTGGGAAGCACCCCAGAGCAGCCGCTGCCCTGGCTGGGGTTTGGAAGCTGCAGAAGCGGAATTTGTGGGAGAGAAAGAAAGACTTCTGTTGCTTCTGCTGCTGAGTGCATGCAAAGAAAGCAGCAGAAGTCTTTCTTTCTCCCATCCAAATTCCGCCTCTGCAGCTTCCAAACTCCGGCTGGAAACCCCTGCTTTGTGGGCAGCTGGGGCAGAGAGGCGATGATGGGCAAAGGGAGCCGCAGCCCCCCATGGAGAGTCAGTCACATCGATGTGGTGAGGCCTGGGAGGGGAGCGAGCAAGGGGGGACAGGTACTCGCGCGGCTTGGCGCCTTGAGGCCGCTCCAGTTTCCCACACACCTGCAGGGGGGGAGGGGCTTGATGGCAGTACGCAGAAGGATCTTCTCTCTGCCAGATCCCTGGCTGTGAGTGCTCAGGCTGCCCAGGGCCTCCTGCACTTTGAAAATAATAAGACTCCCCCAAAAACTAGGCCAAGCCCTTATTTCGGGTTTTAAAAAAATATAAGACAGGGTCATGACATTTACATTCAGATGCTCAACAACTGATTCACATTACTGTTGCAGTATTCCAGACTCATGTGATCCTTTTTTGTGACCTACTGACAAGCAAAGTCAATTGGGAAATCAGATTCACTTAATGACTGTGCTATAACCCTATCACTAATTTAACAATAGTAAGGATTCACTTAACAAATGAGGGAAGAAAAGTAGGGAACCACTTGCAAAAACCTTTGCAAAGGAAACTGCAAGGCCAGGCATGAAGACTGACCGAAAGGCACCTAATACGAAGCTAAGTAGCATCCCCTTTCACTTTTTCACTTGGCTCAGTTGCAAAGGTCGGTTGCTAGGAGTCGAAAACCTCTCCCAAAAGCCTTGGTAGAGAATGGACAGGAGTGTTTTTCCACCTCCTGTCGCTAGATGGCGGTCAGGCAACGTCTGTGCCTAGAAAGCCATCAATACAGAGGTGCCATCCGTGATTGCGCTTAAAAAAGGAGTTTTTAAACCATTGAGTACTGCATTGCTAGAAAGGATGGGAGGAGAGGAGAAGCGCAGAGGAACTTCCTCTTCCGGATGGCTCATGGGAGGAAGTTGGTGTGCAGAGCGGCTTTTGTGCTCTTCCCAGGGTCGAAGCAGCAGCTGGCAGGTGAGTGGAGGGCAGCAGGTGGGAGGAGAGTCCGGGAGCAACTTGGGCTGGAAGCGGAGAAGCAACTGGGCTGAAGCCTCTCAGCTGCGGCTGCTGCAGGTTCCTTCCCTCCCCAAATGGAAGCCCACTGGTGCTGCAGGCTGGGAAACTGGGGGCTGCAATTTCTGCTGGTGGGAAGCTTGAAAAAGCCTCTTTCAAGTGGAGGTTGGTTCTTTGGGAATGGCTTCCCTCCAGAGGTTGTGGCTGCTCCGTCACTGGAGGGTTTTGAGGGGAGATTGGGCAGCCATTTGTTCTGGACGGAATAGGGTCTCCTGCCTGAACAGGGGATGGACTAGAAGATCTCCAAGGTCCCCCCAACTCAATTCTTCTCTTATGGACCTGATGTTTTCTGGGCAACAAGATCGGATTTATTTGCCTCTGGTCTTTTTTGGGTTGTTCTTGTTTTGTTCTACTTCCATTTCTAGCTAACAAGTATGTGTTTCCTATTGGTGCCCCCCCCAGGCTCCACTGTGCTTAACCCAGCACTTTTTAAAAAATAGCTATTGAATGTTTGAACTGTCCAGGTGTATTTATTTATAAAATGTATTGGCCTCCAACCTTACCGTGACATAATTGTGGGCTGTTTAGAGACAGAAAATAATACATACACATTAAAATCTAAATAAATTGTAGGATGTGTAGGAAGAAAAATCTGGTCCGGTTCCAAGCCAGGAGAAAGGAGCTGGAAATAAAATGCTTAGTGACACAGATGCCAGTCCCAATTGCAGTCAGTAAGTGAGGACTACTTCAATTGGGATGTCACCAAAGGGGTTGTGGAAAGCATTTTCTGCCTTTACTTGGAGTTCATGGCTTCCATGGGCATAACTGGTGCTTCAAATCTTGCAGAGGCTTTAGGCCTCATTTGGTCATTTAAAGCCCCCACATCTGTAAAGTTAGTGTCATGCAGATTGTCAGGTGTGGCTCAATAAAATAAAAGAGAGTTCAAGTGTGTTTGTTGATAAGCCAACGCATTTCTTCAGCTGAATAAAGATGGGTCCCTCCTAAGAAGGAAGGAGCCCTGAGCACAATGAAAGGCAGATATTTATACATTTCTTTGCTTTCGCTTCATTACATAAGAGGCAGCTGGGACACGACAGATAAAGTATAGAAATATAGAAATAATAAAAATTATAAAAATAGTCAAGCATGCCTTGTGTGATTTTAGGTCACATGCCTAACAGACAGGCTAGTGGTTTCCTGTGAACGTTTCCATGGCCTCAGGAGACTGTTGAGGCCTGAACTTCGGCCTTACCATCTCAACATATGAGCAAACATCAAATTCATCAGGTTCCTGATTAACATTAGCGCAGAAGGTATGATCGAGATTTTTTCAGGCTTTAAAGACATTG